ACCCTTTGACTGTCGCGGCCGTATATATACGTCTTACGAGGTGCCGTGTTTGACATATATATACAGTGGACCCCCGGTTAACGATATTTTTTCACTCCAGAAGTATGTTCAGGTGCCAGTACTGACCGAATTTGTTCCCATAAGGAATATTGTGAAGTAGATTAGTCCATTTCAGACCCCCAAACATACACGTACAAACGCACTTACATAAATACACTTACATAATTGGTCACATTCGGAGGTAATCGTTATCCGGGGTTCCACTGTACTCATAAATTCTAGCGGCTTCAAATCAAGCAGGAGAAAGCTGGTAGGCCCACATGTGAGAGAATGGGTCTGTGTGGTCAGTGTGCACCATATAAAAAAATCCTGGAGCACGCAGTGCATAATGAGAAAAAAAAAACTCCGACCATTTTTTTAATTAAAATGCCGACTTTGTGGTCTATTTTCGTATAGTATTTATGGTTGTATTCTCGTTTTCTTGGTCTCATTTGATAGAATGGAAAACATATTATAGAAATAGAGGTGATTTTGATTGATTTTACTATAAAAAGAACCTGGAAATGGAGCTCAAAATAGTGAAAATGTTTGATTTTTGCCAATGTTCAAAAGTAAACAAATGATGCCATTGTCCAATATATGTCCAACTAGCCATTCTAATATGCAGTCATGAATGGGTTGATGTTATTTATACAATTATTACAGTATTGCAGTAGTCTGCATAATAGTAAGTCTTCTATTTTTTGTTTGAATAAAAATTCAAAATAGAAAGCAAGAGTAATATCAGAGGGGCCTGGAGACATGACTGATGAGCAAAAGAAAATGTTATTTTAGAGCCAGGAATGTCTGCATTGTTCATTCTGGACCTTATTTTGAAATTGTCATATTTTTCAGTTTTCGTGAAATTGGCCAAATTGCAAATTTCTGACCACATTATTAGGTAGTTGAAATCGGTAAATGGGCAGTTTCTTGTACTCAATCGATAGAAAAAATGGAGTTCTAAAGAAATAGCTATGAGTTTGGGCGACTGGAACAATGGAATTAGCCGAAAATAGGGCTCAAATTGGGCGAAATCGCCGATTTGTAGACAGCTCCGAAATCGCTATCTTCGCGAGAGCATAATTCCGTCAGTTTTCCATCAAATTTCGGTTTTTTTTGGTGTCACTACAATCGGGAAAAGATTCTCTATCATTTCATAAGAAAAAATAATTTTTTTTTTTAAATTTTGCGACACCAGGATTCACCTCAGGATTCGGGGTTGCGACAGTCAAAGGGTTAAGTGAGGAGAGGCTGTAGTAGTGGTGGTAGTAGTAGTAGTGGTGGTGGTAGTAGTAGTGGTGGTAGTAGTAGTAATGGTGGTATAGTAGTGGTGGTAGTAGTAGTAGAGGTGGTGGTAGTAGTAGTAATGGTGGTAGTAGTAGTAGTGGTGGTAGTAGTAGTAGTGGTGGTAGTAGTAGTAATGGTGGTAGTAGTAGTAGTGGTGGTAGTAGTAGTAGTGGTGGTAGTAGTAGTAATGGTGGTAGTAGTAGTAGTGGTGGTAGTAGTAGTGGTGGTAGTAGTAGTAATGGTGGTAGTAGTAGTAGTAGTGGTGGTAGTAGTAGTAGTAGTGATGGTAGTAGTAGTAGTGGTGGTAGTAGTAGTAGTGGTGGTAGTAGTAGTAGTAGTGGTGGTAGTAGTAGTAGTAGTAGATGATGATGTGCAGAGATGGATTGGGTTGGAGAAGGACCTGTCAACATTATGTTACGGCGGTCTCCAAAATGGGCAGTATCCTGTTGATTAACAATTTGGAGATGCACTTTTACCATCTTAAATCATCTCCCTTAATTACTAGTCTAGCCCCACTATGTTAACCCTTTCAGGGTCCGTGCTGTAGATCCACGGCTTTACGTTGAGTGTCCAAACCGTAGATCTACGCCATGAGCTCAGCCCACTCTGATAAGCTGCGAGCGATAAATTTGGGCCTAGATATGAGAGAATACATCTATGTGGTATGTGCGCACCACATAAAACAAATCCTGCAGCACACAGTGCATAATGAGAGAAAAAAACTGAGATCATAATATTTTATTAAACAGCGAATTTGCAGTATTTTTTCGTATGTTGTTTATAGTTGTATTTGCGATTTCTTGGTCTCATTTGATAGAATGGAAGATATATTACAAAAATAGAGATGATTTTGGTTGGTTTTAGTACTGAAAATGGCTTGAAACTGAGCTCTAAGTAGCGGAAATGTTAAATTTTTGTTGATGTTCAAGAGTAAACAAACGACCTCGCACGTCTAATACACACCAGCTGGTGGGTCTGATATATGTTCACAAATGTGCTATTATTATTTATACAGTTATTACAATATTGCATTACAGTAAATCTTCTATTTTTTGGTTTGAATAAAAATTCGTTATGTGAATAAAAAATCAATATGGAATTCATTTGTAAAGCCTGAAAACGTAAACAATAAACAGAGAAAATGTTAGTTTAGTGCCAGGAATACCTACATTATTTATTCTGGACACTGTTCTGAAATTGGAATATTTTGAACTTTGCACTAAATTGGCCAAATTACCAATTTCCGATCACTTTATTTTGTAGTTGAAACAGTTGACTGGGCAATTTCTTGTGCTTAATCGATAGAATAGAAGTAATACTAGTGAAATAGCTAAGAATTTTTTTGACTGGAATAATGTAATTGGCCTAATGTAATTGGAATAATGTAATTGGTCAAAGTTGGCAAAATCACCGATGTGTAAATATCGCTGACACATCAAAATTCACGAGAGCATAATTTTGTCAATTTTCCATCAAATTTCGTACTTTTTGTTTTATTACATTCAGAAAAAGATTCTCTACCATTTCATAAGAAAAAATAACAAAATTATTTTTTGAAAATTCTTTGACCCTGGTGCACACTTTGAAATTTGGCCTCTGGACCCTGAAAGGGTTAAACACACGTTTTTTTTATCATCATTGCTGCAGGCATTTTTGTGTTCCCTAATCCTAACATCCAGAAATCTGGCCATTTGCCCCATTTTTGATGGATACTTATAGACTACTTAAATCTAGATAGGTGAAGAGTAGTTGAATACAATATTCAATATTTTACTCTGTTATTAATTTGAGGTAGTACAATTAGCCCTTTCAGGGTTTTTGATGTACACTAGTAGTACAGCTTACGCACCAGGGTTATTGACGTACTAGAACGCCTAAATTCTAGTGCCTTCAGATCCAGTGAGAGAAAGCTGGTAGGCCTATCTATGAAAGAATGGGTCTATGTGGTCAGTGTGCGCAGTATAAAAAAAAATCCTTCAGCACACAGTGCATAATAAGAAAATAAAAAACTTTGACCGTGTTTTTGGATTAAAAAAGCGACTTTGCACTGTACTTTCGTATGGTATTTATTGTTGTATTCTAGTTTTCCTGGTCTCATTTTATAGAATGGAAGACATATTACAGAAATTGAGATGATTTTGATTGGTTTCCTAATAAAAAGTACCTTGAAATTGAGCTCAAAGTAGTAGCAGAAATGTTCGATTTTTACCAAAGTTCAAAAGTAAACAAATCATGCCAAGCGTCCAATACACATCAACTGGTGAGTCTAATATTCTTTCACAAGTGCACTGATATTATTTATACCATTTCTACACTAATGCAGCAGTATATATAACAGTAAATCTTCTATTTTTTGTGACAAAAATTCAAAGTGGAAAGCAGAAGAGATGTAAGAGGGGCCTGCGGATGTGACTGACGAACAGAGGAAATGTTATTTTAGTGCCAGGAATGTCTTGTTTATTCTGGACCCTATTTGGAAATTGGCATCTTTTGAAATTTGTGTGAGATTGGCAAAATTGCCAATTTCTGACCACACTGTTGGATAGTTGAAATCAGTAAATGGGTGGTTTCCTGTACTCATTCGATAGAAAAAAATGGAGTTCTAGCAAAATAGATATGATTTTTATCGACTAGTTCACTGAAATTGGCCGAAAATAGGGCTCAAAGTGGGTGAAATCGCCGATGCGTAAACATCGTCAAGACTGCTAACTTTGCGAGAGCATAATTCCATAAGTTTTCCATCAGATTTCATACTTTTGGTGTCATTATGATCGGGAAAAGATTCTCTATCATTTCATAAGAATTTTTTTTTTTTTTTTCCAAAACATTTTCGACCCTGAGAACGAGTTTAGGAGAGGGCCTCTCAACCCTGAAAGGGTTAATGATGCAAACATACATTTTAAAGTTTGTAATAATGGCTTAATAGTTAAGGGATAATAAAATATTTGGGAGAGTTGCTTTAAATTTGGTTAGAATTTAGCGTAGTGTGAGACGGACACGAGGGATGTCAAAAAGTATTTTGTGCTTCATGTTATGCCTGTGTTCTGTTGAGCTGTCTAGGAGAAGTTTGAGTGGAGGGTTGATATTGGTGAGTATTGGAGGTCACACTATTTGTGTATACATTCTGGTGTCAGAGTGTCCTCTGACCCCGTAATAATCTAGTTTTAGGTGCAAGATATTTTGGTCTGCTGTATCAAATGCTGTCTGTAGGTCTATGAAGAGCCCCAGAGGATATTTATTTTCTTCAAGTGCTGTATATAGTAATTCGAGCATCTGAATAATTGCATCATTCGTGCTTTTTATCAGCCTAAACCCAAACTGGCAGGGGTTCAGTATGTTATGGGATACGAGGTAGGAGTAGATTTGTTTATGTATTTTTTTTCAAAGATTTTGGAGAGCAAAGGCAAGTTAGATATTGGTCTGTAGTTATTTAGTTCTGTAGGATCGCCTCCTTTGTGGATCAGGGTGACTCTTGCTGTCTTGAGTATGGTTGGGAATTTTATACATGATTGGTGGCAAGTTATTTAGGTCTCCTGCCTTGTTTTTTAATGATTTAATTATTAGTCACTCCTAAGTCTTGTAGTAGTTATAAGGTAGTCAGTCATCAGTCTTGTGGTAGATATAAGGTAGTCGGTGCTCAATCTTGTAGCTAATAACTACATCCACACATGCAGGCTCCTCTACACAGTTCACTGGGCGGCGGTGCGGGCGGGGGCGGCGGTGGGTCCAGCGATGGATTGCGTCGACCTATGACCAGCATGAGGGGTACAGGCTACACCTCTCATGGTAGCGTGTTTGATCCATTGCATCAGGCTAACAAGGGACCAGCACCAGCACTCATCTCCAAGACTGAGGAGAGGTCAGTTACTACAGTCTGTCTTGTAAGACAGTAGTCAGTTACTACAATCTGTCTTGTAAGACAGTAGTCAGTTACTACAGTCTTACAGTCTGATTCATAAGGCAGGTAATTTACAGCAATCATATTACAGTATTATTATTATTGTTATTATTATTTTTTATTATTGTTATTAAGTACGTACATATTATTGTTATTAAGTATATTATTGGCATTATTATTTTTTTTGATATTGGTATTATTTTTAGTTTTAATATTGTATGTACATATTATTATTGGTATTATTATTTCATGTATTAGTAGTAGTAATATAATTGCTGATATTTTTCTTCTTATTTGTCAATAAAATAATTATTGTTGTTATTGTTCAGTGCTGAGGAGAAGATCAAGGCTCTGGAACGGCGCGTGATGACACTGATCGAGGAGTCTTGTACAGCAGCAGCGAAGGGTGAGGTGCGTCTGGCACTGGAGCGTGCCAAGGAAGCCTCCAGCAAAGAACGATCCTTGATACGACAGAGGGAACAAGCTGGTCTGTCTGATGGTCATAACCTTGACCTGACTTTCTCTGTACGTTGTGAGCATGTTATGTACCTGTTGTGTACTTGATGTGTACGTGTTATGTTGTGTATACCAGGAATGATTGTTGATATGACAGAGGGAACAAACTGGTCTCTCTGACAACATAAACTTGACTTGACCTTCTTTGTATGTTGTGTTTGTGTCGTTCTTGTGAGTTTACAGCTCTCTGGTGAACATGGTGGTATTTTGTTCCATCTTCTCTAAATGTCTGAACCATCTCAACAACCCCTCCTCAGCCCTGTGGATAATACTTTTAGTAATGCATCACCTCCTTCTTATCTCCAAGTTATGGATTCTCTGCATTATATTCACACCACACATTGCCCTCAGACATGACATCTCTACTGCCTCCAGCCTTCTCCTATTTGCAACATTCACCACCCATGCTTCACACCCATATAAGGGTGTTGGTACCACTATACACTCATACATTCCCCTCTTTGCCTCCATAGATAATGTTTTTTGTCTCCACAGACTCTTCAGTACACCGCACACCTTTTTCCCCTCATCAATTCTATTATTCACCTGGTCTTTCATAGACCCATCTGACAAGTCCACTCCCATATATCTGAACATATTCACTTCCTCCATACTCCCTCCCTGTCTTTCAATTGCCTTCCTTTACATACCCTTCCAAACTCGTCGACTAACTTTCGCAACCTCCCTTCAGAATCTCCCAGAAAGCACAGTGTCATCAGTAAAAACAACTGTCACAATTCTCACTTTGTGTTATATTTCATATATTTGAATCCCACCCCTCTCCCCAACACCCAAGCACTCACTTCTCTTACAAGCCCATCTATAAATATGTTAAACAACCATGGTGACATTACACATTCCTGTCTAAGACCTCTTTTTACCGGGAAGTAGTCTCCCTCTCTCCTACACATCCTAACCTCTCATACCATAGTGTTCAATTGTGTGACCTCTCATACCATAGTGTTCAATTTTATGACCTCTGATACCATAGTGTTCAATTGTGTGACCTCTCATACCATAGTGTTCAATTGTGTGACCTCTGATACCATAGTGTTCAATTGTGTGACCTCTGATACCATAGTGTTCAATTGTGTGACCTCTGATACCATAGTGTTCAATTGTGTGACCTCTCATACCATAGTGTTCAATTGTGTGACCTCTCATACCATAGTGTTCAATTGTGTGACCTCTGATACCATAATGTTCAATTTTATGACCTCTGATACCAATTTTAAGCTGACCTGCCACAACGAAAGTTTTGCATAGGTCTATAAAGAGGCCTTGCTGATAATTTTGGGAGTGTATAAAACATAGCATTTGTATTGCATCGTTGGTACCTTTGTTCAGTGAGTGATCTGGCGGGTGTTGCACGTGTTGCAAGGTGGTGATAGTTATTATAGTCCCGGGAGGATTTTTTACGATTTTTTTTTTTTTACAGAAATTTTTACAAAAGCATTTACAAAGATTTTTACATAAATTTGTATGCAATTTTTTAGGCAGTTTTTTTATGAACAAATTTACGATTTTTTTAGTAAAGGTTTTTAACATAAATTTTTACACAAACTTTTACAAAAATTTTACGAAAATTTTTCACAAAAATTTTTGCGCAGATGTTTGCGAAAAAAATACAAAAATTTTGAACAAGAATGGTGAGTTATAGACCTACAGTTGTATACACCTGTTAGGCCTACAGTTATTTACATGTTAGGCCTACAGTTGTTTACACCTGTTAGGCCTGCAGTTATTTACATGTTAGGCCTACAGTTGTTTACACCTGTTAGGCCTGCAGTTATTTACATGTTAAGCCTACAGTTGTTTACACCTGTTAGGCCTACAGTTATTTACATGTTAAGCCTACAGTTGTTTACACCTATTAGGCCTACAGTTATTTACATGTTAGGCCTACAGTTGTTTACACCTGTTAGGCCTACACCTCTGTGTATTGAAGTGATGCCAGTACTGACACTCTTGTTCAACATTATTCACCACTAACACTTGTTCACAGGTGTTGTTCAACCTTATTCACCACTAACAACACTGGTGTTCACAGATGTTCAACCAATGCCCCACTAACAACACTGGTGTTCACAGATGTTCAACCAATGCCCCACTAACAACACTGGTGTTCACAGGTGTTGTTCAACCTGGCCAACCAGTACGCAGCAAATGACATGTTCACCGAGGCGTTGAACACCTACCAGGTGATCACCAAGGACCGCATGTTCAACAACTCTGGCAGACTGAGAGTGAACATGGGGAACATTTATTACAAGATGAACCAATATAACAAGGCTGTTAAGTTCTACCGTATGGCACTGGACCAGGTACCCAATACCCACAAGAGTATGAGGTAGGTACCCAACACCCACAAGAGTATGAGGTAGGTACCCAATACCCACAAGAGTATGAGGTAGGTACCCAACACCCACAAGAGTATGAGGTAGGTACCCAATACCCACAAGAGTATGAGGTAGGTACCCAATACCCAAAAGAGTATGAGGTAGGTACCCAATACCCACAAGAGTATGAGGTAGGTACCCAATACCCACAAGAGTATGAGGTAGGTACCCAACACCCACAAGAGTATGAGGTAGGTACCCAACACCCACAAGAGTATAAGGTAGGTACCCAATACCCACAAGAGTATGAGGTAGGTACCCAACACCCACAAGAGTATGAGGTAGGTACCCAATACCCACAAGAGTATGAGGTAGGTACCCAATACCCACAAGAGTATGAGGTAGGTACCCAATACCCACAAGAGTATGAGGTAGGTACCCAACACCCACAAGAGTATGAGGTAGGTACCCAATACCCACAAGAGTATGAGGTAGGTACCCAATACCCACAAAAGTATGAGGTAGGTACCCAGTACCATGTAGAACATGACCAAAAGTACAAAATTTGATGGAAAATTTACAGAATTATGCTCACGCGAACTTAGCGGTCCGACGATATTTATGCATTGGCGATTTTGCGCACTGTGCCCCCTATTTCCGGCCAGTTCCAGTGTTCCAGTCAACTAACATCATAGCTATTTTGCTAGAACTCCATTTGTTCTATCGATTGAGTAGAAGAAAATTCCCATTTACCGATTTCAATTACCCAATAAAGTGGTCAGAAATTGGCAATTTGGCCAATTTGGCCAGTTTCATACAAATTTCTAAAGATGCCAATTTCAAAATAGGGTCCAGAATAAACAGTGCAGACATTCCTGGCACTAAAATAAAATTTTCTCTGTTCATCAGTCACATCTCCAGGTCCCTCTTATATTACTCTTGCTTTCCATTTTTAATTTTTATTTTCACAAAAAAATAGAAGATTTAGTGTTACGCAGACTACTGCTTTATTGTAAAAATGGTATAAATAATGTCAACGCACTAGTGAAAGAATATTAGACACGCCAGTTGACGTGTATTGGACGTGTGGCGTAATTTGTGTACTCTTGAATATCGGCAAAAATCGAACATTTTCACTAATTTGAGCTCAATTTCAAGGTTCTGCTTTTCATCATGAAACTAATCAAAGTCATCACTATTTCTGTAATATATCTTCCATTCCATCAAATGGGGCCAAGAAAACGAGATTACAACCATAAATACCATACGAAAATACACTGCAAAGTCGCTGTTTTAAACCAAAAACACAGTCAGAGTTTTTTCCTCATACACTGCGTGCTGCAGGTTTTTTTATACTGCACACACACTGACCATGCAGACCCATTCTTTCATATGTAGGCCTACCAGCTTTTTTCTACCAGATTAAAAGCCACTAGAATTTTGGCGTATAAGTATATGACCAACCCTGACTGTTAAGACGTACGTGTACGTGACCGACCCTCAAAGGGTTAGTACAACGATTGCATTGTGGAAACTTGCTGAATCAATGTTGCATCTGCAGTGCCAGACTTCTGGCAGATATTAACCTTACAGATGCTACCAGCTGTGTTAGATGTGTGTGGATGCTACCAGCTGTGTTAAATGTGTGTGGATGCTACCAGCTGTGTTAGATGTGTGTGGATGCTACCAGCTGTGTTAGATGTGTGTGGATGCTACCAGCTGTGTTAGATGTGTGTGGATGCTACCAGCTGTGTTAGATGTGTGTGGATGGTACCAGCTGTGTAAGAAGTGTGAGGATCCTACCAGCTGTGTTAGATGTGTGTGGATGGTACCAGGTGTGTTAGAAGTGTGAGGACACTACCAGCTGTGTTAGAAGTATGAGGATGCTACCAGCTGTGTTAGAAGTGTGAGGATGCTACCAGCTGTGTTAGAAGTGTGAGGATGCTACCAGCTGTGTTAGAAGTGTGAGGATCCTACCAGCTGTGTTAGAAGTGTGAGGATGCTACCAGCTGTGTTTAGAAGTGTGGGATGCTACCAGCTGTGTTAGAAGTGTGAGGATCCTACCAGCTGTGTTAGAAGCATGAGGACCCTACCAGCTGTGTTAGAAGTGTGCGGATGCTACCAGCTGTGTTAGAAGTGTGAGGATGCTACCAGCTGTTCTTGAAGTGTGAGGATGCTACCAGCTGTGTTAGAAGTGTGAGGATGCTACCAGCTGTGTTAGAAGTGTGAGGATGCTACCAGCTGTGTTAGAATGTGAGGATGCTACCAGCTGTGTTAGAATGTGAGGATGCTACCAGCTGTGTTAGAAGTGTGAGGATGCTACCAGCTGTGTTAGAAGTGTGAGGATGCTACCACTGTGTTAGGAGTGTGAGGATGCTAACAGCTGTGTTAGAATTTGGGGAGGATGCTACCAGCTGTGTTAGAAGTGTAGGATGCTACCAGCTGTGTTAGAAGTGTGAGGATGGTACCAGCTGTGTTAGAAGTGTGAGGATGCTACCAGCTGTGTTAGAAGTGTGAGGATCCTACCAGCTGTGTTAGAAGTGTGGGGATCCTACCAGCTGTGTTAGAAGTGTGAGGATCTACCAGCTGTGTTAGAAGTGTGAGGATGCTCCCAGCTGTGTTAGAAGGGGTGAGGATGCTACCAGCTGTGTTAGAAGTGTGAGGATGCTACCAGCTGTGTTAGAAGTGTGAGGATCCTACCAGCTGTGTTAGAAGTGTGAGGATGCTACCAGCTGTGTTAGAAGTGTGAGGATGCTACCAGCTGTGTTAGAAGTGTGAGGATGCTACCAGCTGTGTTAGAAGTGTGAGGATGCTACCAGCTGTTCTTGAAGTGTGAGGATGCTACCAGCTGTGTTAGAAGTGTGAGGATGCTACCAGCTGTTCTTGAAGTGTGAGAATGCTACCAGCTGTGTTAGAAGTGTGAGGATGCTACCAGCTGTTCTTGAAGTGTGAGGATGCTACCAGCTGTTCTTGAAGTGTGAGGATGCTACCAGCTGTTCTTGAAGTGTGAGGATGCTATCAGCTGTGTTAGAAGTGTGAGGAATAAAGTACCAAAATAAGTGTTAAAGCAGACTGGTGAAAGTTGTGGCTCACAACTTTCACCAGTCTGCTTTTAACACTTAGACGATGTGAATGGCCTCTTAGAAGATAAGGATGAAGACAGGAGTCCTGAAGGAATGTTTGGAGAGCTCACTGTAGAGATACAAGGAAGGAAGATAACAGAGTAAGATGAAGATACGGGCCAGGTCTCTAGGCTGCACTACCAGGCCTATCCTGGTAGGGCAGAGAGAGAGAGAGACTGAGAGACTGAGACCTTCTTGCTTGTATGCTGTCTGCTATGATAACAAGAGGGATGCAGCACGTCGCACAGTGAACAGAAGGTAGGCCTATGGTCACACAGGTCTACAGTGACAGCTCCCCTAGCGGTAGTCGTTGGAAATGGGTACAGTGGGGAGGGATATCCTGTTGTGCATTGCCACAGCTATGTAAACTCTGCCATATTATTGGTAAAATTGCAGACTTTTTCACTGTAAGAGAAGCCTGACAAATCTAGAAACATTGCTGTGATACATGGCCTAGAGCAGCTGGTGATGCTTATCGTCACCTGCAAGTGACACAGCCTAGAACAGCTGGTGATGCTTATCGTCACTTGTAAGTGACAGCCTAGAGCAGCTGGTGATGCTTACCGTCACCTGTTTAAGTGATGTTGGGCGAGAGGAATTCTCACTTCTCCAGTATAGCCATGGGCTCTAGTGCCAGAACCTCATCCATCCACCTCAGCTGACAATCCACAGTCATTCACCTCAGCTGACAATCTACAACCATCCACCTCAGCTGACACTCCACAACCATCCACCTCAGCTGACACTCCACAGTCATCCACCTCAGCTGACACTCCACAACCATCCACCTCAGCTGACACTCCACAACCATCCACCTCAGCTGACACTCCACAACCATCTGCCTCAGCTGACAATCCACAACCATCTGCCTCAGCTGACAATCCACAACCATCCACCTCAGCTGACACTCCACAACCATCTGCCTCAGCTGACAATCCACAACCATCCACCTCAGCTGACAATCCACAACCATCCACCTCAGCTGACAATCCACAACCATCCACCTCAGCTGACAGTCAACAGTCATCCACCTCAGCTGGCACTCCACAACCATCCACCTCAGCTGGCACTCCACAACCATCCACCTCAGCTGGCACTCCACAACCATCCACCTCAGCTGACAATCCACAACCATCCACCTCAGCTGACAGTCAACAATCATCCACCTCAGTTGACACTCCACAACCATCCACCTCAGCCCAGTAGGGCCACAGCATCCCTCTACAATGTTCGGAATCATCAACAAAACACTAGCAACCACAAGTGAAGATAATATTATTGCTGTAATATTTGTAGCACAAACTAATGTATTAACATATTACATCAAGAACCAGGTACAGTTATATTATCATTTTCATTTGTTTACAATTTCGAGACCAAAAGCAAAAGTTGTTTACCATTTTTAAGGACCAAAGAATGTAACCTTATTTTTCCCATAAATCCTTTGGTTTGTTTTAGACAATTTTAACTATACACAACCTTCAGGAACGTAACTACCATGTTAATTGATGGTCTACTGTACGTCATGCTGGAGTAGGCCAACATTATGACCAGTCTCGACCTGGTCACTGCCTATACACGGTCGTAATTCGAGTGGACGTATGTCGAGTAGGTCGTAAGTCGGATGGTAGGTGTATTTGACTGAGTCCATTTTTTCATCAATTTCAGGATCAAAATTATGCACAACATAGGCCTGGTGTTCGTGCGCATGGGTCAGTACTCTGAGGCATGTACTAGTTTTGAGTACATCATGCAGGAGGAGGCTAACTTCAAGACTGGCCTGGACCTGGTCACTGCATACTTCGCCCTCGGCGATAAGGAACGCATGAAGAAGGGATTCCTGCGCTTGTTGGAGTGTCAGCTGGATATTGATGATGACGAGAAGTATACCACCACTACGGTAAGTGTATTGACATGATGAGAAGTATACCACCACTACAGTGTGTTGATGATGACAAGAAGTATACCACCACTACAGTGTGTTGATGATGACAAGAAGTATACCACCACTACAGTGTGTTGATGATGACAAGAAGTATACCACCACTGCAGTAAGTGCATTGATGATGATGAGAAGTATACAACTATGACGGTAAGTATATTGACGACAATAAGAAGTGCGTATGCAACTACGACGGTAAGTGTATTGCTGATAACAGGTATACAACTATGACAGTAAGTATATTGACGATGACAGGGAGTATACAACTACAATGGTAAGTATATTGATGACAATAAGAAGTATAGAACTATAGCAGTAAGTGTTTGTATTAATGTCAAGTATACAACGACTTGACTAACATTATTATCCTGTGTCATCATCATTTAATTTCAGTTGTTAGACGAAGTGTCAACTTGCAGGAGGACACGCAGGCCAACCTCATACTGGAGGTGATCCGTAACGACCCACTGCGTAAGATGGAACGACAGATGAAGCAGGAGGCGGAACGATCCATCCTCACCGCCGCCAAGCTCATCTTCTCCCGGGCCATCGAAAACAACTTCAGTGATGGTTATAACTGGTGAGGTTCCAGTCATACCCAGTCTTAAGACTGTGTATAGCTTCTGCCACTTCCTTGTCCAGGTTGTTCAACTTCCTGACAAGCCTGAGATTGAACGAGCACCTCTTGTCAATCCTCATAGTTTGTGTGTTTTGCTTTAAGCTGAATTACTGAACAGTATTGTTCCAGTCATGGTATTATGCTTTTTTGTTCATTCTGAACAATATTGTACCAACAGATTTCTAATTCTACCTCATAACAGCGGATTCAAGGTACTAGTAACATATTATGTATATACAGTGGTACCTCGAATTTTGAACAGCTCCCAACTCAAACAATTATGTAAATGTGGTTTTTTGGAGGTCTGAAATGGACTAATCTAATTTACATTATTCCTTATGGGAACAACTTCGTTTGGAAACGGCACTCGAACAGCCTTCTGGAAGAATTATGGCCGAAATTTGAGGTACCACTGTTTGTAATATACATATACAGTGGACCCCCGGTATTCAATATTAATCCGTTCCTGGAGCTCATCGAATACTGAAAATATCGAAAAGCGAATCAATTTTCCTCATAAGAAATACTGGGGAAAACAAAATTTATCCGTGCAAGACAAACCCAAAAGTTTTGAAAAAAAAATTTTTTCCACATGAAATATTAAGTTTAATGCAATAGAATAATTACAATAAAAAAACAATAACAATAGAATAATTGACAAATTACCTTTAATGAAGATCTGGTGATGATTGATGGGATGGGAGGAGGAGAGAGTGTTAGTGTTTAGAAAGGGAATCCCCTTCCATTAGGACTTGAGGTAGCAAGTCCTTTTCCAGGTTTACTTCTCTTCTTCTTTTAATGCCAGTAGACCGCTTGAGAGTCACTGGACTTCTGTCGCACAACATATCTGTCCATAGAGGCCTATACCTCCCGTTCCTTTATGACATTCCTAAAGTGTTTTCAAAAATTGTCAGTGTAATAGTCACCAGCACGGCTTGCAATGCTGGTTAGAATTATACCTTACTTTAAGCAGCAATTCAGTAAACCCAGGTTTACGAATCGCTGCTTCAGTAAACCTGGGGTCTTGAGCTCCTACCACGTCTCAAGCGTTCGGGAACAATCTTCTTGACTAATGCACTGGAAGCCAAACACGAAGACAGAAAAGCAGGGTAAAGCAACATGTGTTGCTTTGCGCACCCCTTTTACCTCCCAGTCGCACTGGGAGCGTTGCCTGATCCCCTTGCTGATCCTCTAGTGACAGGTTTTAGTGCCCTTCTTAAAGGTTGACCTCAGGTGTGTGTCATATTCGTTGAGTGTTGGGTTGTCAAAAGAGGGTGCACACCTCAGGAAGTAAGTGAGTTTTTGGAATAGTAAGGCACCTTGTGAGGAGATACAGAGCATCAAAGGGCATCAAGAAATTTCTTTTTCTCTCCTCCATTCTCATCAGGTCATTCAATTTGTCCTTGAGGACTGTGTCGATGGCCTGGTGACCCAGCGGTGCTCCCAAGAGGGGTACTGTTGGACGGAATGGTAATAGAGACTTCTGGGAGGATTCTTTCACACAGCTTGAATATTTCCTGGTTCGCCGTGATGATTTCACACTTTAAGGGATTGAGGGACGAGTCCCAAGTCTTCTCCCTGTGTTTTCACCATTGTAGGTCCCCTACCAGGGACTCTTCAGTACCTGCAGGGGTGCCATCATCCAGGGTACCAGATGTTGAGCTCGCTGCATAGGCTGGAAGTTAGTTCTTTTACTGCCAAGCAGAAGAGAAGTGGAGCTAGTGGGTCCCCTGCTGAACACCTTCTGATGAGAGAATTTCATGTTCTCCAAAACAAAAAAAATTGGGGTTTTGCTGTAGCCAGCTGAAATGAAGGGAAAAGACTGGGGAACCGATCCCGAACAGCTGGCAAGAACAGCATCTCTCTTCACCATATTAAAGGCATTTCTAAAATCAAGTTTGATTACGGCTTGTCTTCTGGTAGGTCCCTGATGTAGGCCTTTGCAGCATGATGCTCAGCTTCACTGCCTTGAGAGACCCGAAAGCTCAGTTGGTGTGGCTGAAGTAGACTGGCAGCTTCTAGGTGAATGTTTCTTACTGCTGCTTTGGCAAAAAGACAGCGAAAAAGTGTTTCCAAACCACAATGGGTCTGATTCCCCATCCTTCTTCTTCAACACACACAGTGAGGCTCCAAAAAAGAAAGGTTTAATTTCTTTTTGGGGTTCGCCCAGCCAGGCAGTTGTTGACGAAAGTTGTTAACTCGGTGAGAAGAATTGATGCAAATGCACCGAGTCTGGATTTACCATCTCTTGGAGGTGTTGAGGTCGAATTCCCGTGTAAAACCTGCAGATCCTGCTGGGAAAAGACACAAACGCCTTATAGACTTCCCAATTCTGGCAAAATTAATTGTTCAGTATGGGGTCTTCCTCGGGTTGTCGTTTATGGCTATGGTGTCCCTGGTTGGATGCTTGTCTCTTAGTGCTTGGTCCGTGGTCTCATCTTTGGTGGCTACAGTGTCGTCACTTGTAATTATTCGGATTGCTCCCCCTGTGTTACCCTTCTTCGATTTTTTTGCTAACCTGTGTGCAGATTTTCTCGTTTTCAGTGGGACTTTTCTTGGGGTCTACCTCTCTTATTCCTGCGATGATGGGGAGAGGGACACAATTGTCCGTTCTTGGGTAGTTGCTCACTGCCTTGATAACTGATGTGGTTAGCAGTTTGTCTCATCTTCAGGAATTGTAAGACAGACATTGCCGAACAGGTGTAGGTTGCACCATGGCTTGGATGGTGCCTCGGGCTTCTAAGTTGGTGGAACCCCCATTCACCTGCTTAAGAAGGTCTGTGAATTTCCCTGCTGCATATGGGTGAGCCGCTTTAGGGATGTGGGATAGGTTTCTGCTAGCAGTGGGGTTTTAATGTCAACAGAAGGTTATCGCAATGACGAGGTTGCCATTGGAATTGTCATGTGCTGTGGAGGCTGTGGGCTGCTCTCTGCTGGGGCATATGTGATCCCGCACACCCATTGTGCGCACGAATGCGGCCATCCCCTTTTTTCCGGGGCTCAAAACTCTCCACACACCTGACATGTGCCTCTTCTTTCATTGTTGAGTGCATATATTTTAAGAATGAGCAAAAATTTGCGTATGCAATAATTTTACAGAAATCATACTGAACCTAACGAAAAAAATATATTTCATTGTGTTTGTTTATTATTTAAAATTTTTGTAAGGTTAGGGAAGTTTTCTGTGGTTCTTTGGTACAAAATTATTAATTTTTACATTACATAAATGAAAAAAAATATACCTTTAAACGTATAAGAATTTTTTTTAGAAGGGATTTAATTTTAAATGAGTTCTTGCTAATTGACCAATTTTCCCTATTCGGCACGACATACACGTATATATATATTTTTATTTACTTTTTTTATTAACACATCTGCCGTCCACCAAGGGAGGGTGGCGAGCTTACACTCCAGTTATAAAATTGCAACATTAACACCCCTCCATCTCCAGGACCCATGTCTGTGTGTGTGCATGCAGGAAAATATTGTTTTAGCCATAGAGTTGTAAATAAGTGGAACAAACTAACAACCTGCTGAGTAGCATTGTGTAGGTGATGATCATGTGTAGTTTATGTGCGTGTGATAGTTGAACCTACCTAGCATGGTCCAGCACATGTATTGGTGTGTGATAGTTGAACCTACCTAGGCATGGTCCAGTACATGTACTGGTGTGTGATAGTTGAACCTACCTAGCATGGTCCAGTACATGTATTGGTGTGTGATAGTTGAACCTACCTAGCATGGTCCAGTACATGTACTGGTGTGTGATAGTTGAACCTACCTAGCATGGTCCAGTACATGTACTGGTGTGTGATAGTTGAACCTACCTAGCATGGTCCAGTACATATACTAGTGTGTGATAGTTGAACCTACCTAGCCTAGACCAGTAGACCTACTAGAGTGATAGTTGAACCTAGCTTAAATGAACCCTAACTTAACCTTCCCCCAGGTGTGTGGAGGTAATCAAAAACTCGCAGTACGCAGACCTGGCCAACGACCTGGAGATCAACAAGGCTGTGATGTTTCTGCGGCAGAAGAACTTCAAGGATGCTGTGGACACTCTCAAGATGTTTGAGAAGAAGGAGACCAAGGTGGCCAGTACTGCTGCCACTAACCTCTCCTTCTTGTACTTCCTGGTGAGTGACCAAGGTGGCCAGTACTGCTGCCACTAACCTCTCCTTCTTGTAATCCTGTGAGTGACCAAGGGGGCCAGTACTGCTGCCACTAACCTCTCCTTCTTGTACTTCCTGGTGAGTGACCAAGGTGGCCAGTACTGCTGCCACTAACCTCTCCTTCTTGTACTTCCTGGTGAGTGACCAAGGTGGCCAGTACTGCTGCCACTAACCTCTCCTCCTTGTACTTCCTGGTGAGTGACCAAGGTGGCCAGTACTGCTGCCACTAACCTGTCTTTGTTGTACTTCCTGGTGAGTGACCAAGGTGGCCAGACTTTCTGCCAACAAACCGTCTTTGTTGTACTTTCCTGGGAGTGACCAAGGTGGGGCCAGTACTGCTGCCACCTAACCGTCTTTGTTGTACTTCCTGGTGAGTGACCAAGGTGGCCAGTACTGCTGCCACAAACCTGTCTTTGTTGTACTTCCTGGTGAGTGACCAAGGTGGCCAGTACTGCTGCCACTAACCTCTCCTCCTTGTACTTCGTGGTGAGTGACCAAGGTGGCCAGTACTGCTGCCACTAACCTGTCTTTGTTGTACTTCCTGGTGAGTGACCAAGGTGGCCAGTACTGCTGCCACTAACCTGTCTTGTTGTACTTCCTGGTGAGTGACCAAGGTGGCCAGTACTGCTGCCACTAACCTGTCTTGTTGTACTTCCTGGTGAGTGACCAAGGTGGCCAGTACTGCTGCCACAAACCTGTCTTTGTTGTACTTCCTGGTGAGTGACCAAGGTGGCCAGTACTGCTGCCACTAACCTGTCTTTGTTGTACTTCCTGGTGAGTGACCAAAGTGGCCAGTACTGCTGCCACTAACCTGTCTTTCTTTCTTGTTAGTCACCTTACACCTGCTGTCACTGTTCACCTAGCAGTAATTAGGTACCTTGGTGTTAGTGGACTGGTGTGGGCGACATCCCGGGGGCAAAATTAATCGCTAAGTTACGTGAAAGGCACCAACTATAATACAAGTGGACTCCTTCCGTCAGCCCAGGAGCCATAATAGTTGATCTGTTCTTAACCCTGATCAAGGAAGGGGTTAGTCTAGATGGTAGAACTCCAGACTGTCAATTTAGGGACCATGGTTCGAGCCCCTTCATTGACACTTGGTTATTATAGCTTGAGTTCACTTAAGGAAGAAGTAAAATTTGTGGCAGGATGTATACAAGCAGTCTTCATGGTAATACAGTGTATGTATGGTTGGTGTATGTCACTGTGGATCAGTACAGTCTTCATGGTAATACAGTGTATGTGTGGTTGGTATATGTCACTGTGGATCAGTACAGTCTTCATGGTAATACAGTGTATGTATGGTTGGTGTATGTCACTGTGGATCAGTACAGTCTTCATGGTAATACAGTGTATGTATGGTTGGTGTATGTCACTATGGGTCTGGCTGTATGTTAGTATTGTTTGTGTGTTTGCTGGACCGCCACAGTGTTGTTTGTGTGTTTGCTGGACCGCCACAGTGTTGTTTGTGTGTTTGCTGGACCGCCACAGTGTTGTTTGTGTGTTTGCTGGACCGCCACAGTGTTGTTTGTGTGTTTGCTGGACCGCCACAGTGTTGTTTGTGTGTTTGCTGGACCGCCACAGTGTTGTTTGTGTGTTTGCTGGACCGCCACAGTGTTGTTTGTGTGTTTGCTGGACCGCCACAGTGTTGCTAGGACGGCTAATTTGACAGTAGCACAGAGGAGCAAAGATCTATAATGTCATCTGGAGTATACCAGGGGTTATTTCTGGAGTTTCCCCTGGATTATACCTGGAGTTATTGCTGAAATATTCCTGTAGTATACCTGGAGTTATACCTGCAGTATACTTGGCATATACCTGGAGTTATAGCTAAAATATACCTGGAGTTATAGCTAAAATATACCTGTAGTATACCTGGAGTTATACCTGGTGTATACCTGCAGCATACCTGGTGTATACCTGGAGTATACCTGACGTTATACCTGGAGTATACCTTTAGTATACCTGGAATATAATAATATAAAAAATAGAGCCTATAAACTTGCCAAACTATAAACCAATTATTTACAATAATGTGCCCTCGTAGGCTTAGGCCTAAGCTCACAGATAAATTGTTCGGAGAACTGACAAATTGACAATTTACACACGTGTGCATCGCTTGCATGTCTTTTGGGAGCGTTTCCACCAGATACCCAGGTGATGCACACGTGTCTAAATTTATCAGGCCTAGACTTACCTAAAATTCTCCACATTACTATAGGCCTATGCTTTCCAGTGTCAGCCATTACCGTATAAACATTGTATTGTGTGGAAATACACCTGTATGTTGTATTGCTGCTGTATTGTGTTGCCTTGTTGGGAAGACATCAAGTTTATGGAAAAATATAATAATAATCTCACTTTTTAAAAATAATATTATGCTATTATATGCCATCATCATCATCATAATAATAATAATAATACAGGTGATTTTTGACCTAAGATTTTTCAGCTTACAATATTTTCAACTTACAATACTTTCAACTTACAATACAGCCTCTCCTCATTTAATGACGGGGTTCCGTTCCTAAGACCACGTTGATAAACCAATTCATCGCCAATCAAGGAACCACACCTTCTCAGTACTTCAAGTATTTATAACATCGGCTCATTGGCATTCATTGTTGTATCTGATCGTCAAACCAGATCGCTAGTAATTTCTCCAATTCATGAATGAGGCCTTTCTGCTACCTAGTTATTATGGCTTGAAATTCTGTCAATCCTTTCACTGCCTCTTTCATTCTATCTTTATCCTTCATGATGTTCAAATTAATAAATAAATAAATAAATAAATAAATAAATAAATAGTGGAACTGGTAAAATGCGCCAGCTTCAAGTCACAGGCTATCACTTTCACTTTCTTACCACCTTATTATTCAATTTTAATCTTCATTTTTATATCAATATCAATAACCTTCCTTTGTTTCTTGGTGCTTCATTCAGGTGAAGTCAAGATCTTCCTTTTTGCCGACATCTTGTACTGTGGGATGCACAATAACATACGTATTGTACAAATATGTAGTCTTGGAGACTGTAAAAGCTAGTGTACTGAGTGGTTGTAAGAAGGAGACCGAGATTCTTGATGCTGAGACGCCATGCTGCCCATTTCCATGACCCAAATTCTCTTACAGTATAAAATACCGACTGGTTAGAGAGCCTGCCGTAACTCCAAGTTATTGGTAAACAAGTACATTACTAAGTGAGGAGAGGCTGTATTTTCAACTTACGACATTTTCAACTTATGGCATTTTCAACTTACAACATTTTCAACTTACGATGTTTTCAACTTACGGCATTTTCAACTTAGGAAATTTTTAGGTGTTAGGTAAGACACATATGCAACAGTTAGGTATCTTTATTTCGAAACGTTTCGCCTACACAGTAGGCTTCTTCAGTCGAGTACAGCAAAGTTGATAGAAGCAGAAGAGACTTGAAGACGATGTAATCAGTTCATCACCCTTGAAGTTTTGAGGTGGTCAGTCCCTCAGTCTGGAGAAGAGTATTGTTCCATAGTCTGGAACAATATGGAGTTGAAGTGATAAGATGGAGCCTTATATAGCGCCAGGTGGTGAGACGCAGGTCATTAGTAGAGGTAAGAATATAGATGTTGAGAGGTCAGGTCCCTCTCAAATCCAGCCATTCTCACTAGTAGAGGTTGTTGAAGTTGATTCCAAGTCTGTACCAAGATACCCTTGTGTTACAGTGTCTGACAGAGTGAACAATAAAATGGTATAAAATACCGACAGGTTGTTAGGTAAGACACATGTGACTGATTACATCGTCTTCAAGTCTCTTCTGCTTCTATCAACTTTTCTGTACTCAACTGAAGAAGCCTACTGTGTAGGCGAAACGTTTCGAAATAAAGATACCTAACTGTTGCATATGTGTCTTACCTAACAACCTGTCGGTATTTTATACCATTTTATTGTTCACTCTCTCAGACACTGCAACACAAGGGTATCTTGGTACAGACCTGCAGTCAACTTCGACAACCTCTACTAGTGAGAACGGCTGGATTTGAGAGGGACCTGACCTCCCAACATCTGCGTTCTTACCTCTACTAATGACCTGCGTCTCACCTCCTGGCACTATATAAGGCTCAATCCTATCACTTCAACTCCATATTGTTCCAGACTATGGAACAATACTCTTCTCCAGACTGAGGGACTGACCACCTCAAAACTTCAAGGGTGATGGACTGATTACATAGTCTTCAAGTCTCTTCTGCTTCTATCAACTTTTCTGTACTCGACTGAAGAAGCCTACTGTGTAGGAGAAACGTTTCGAAATAAAGATACCTAACTGTTGCATATGTGTCTTACCTAACAACCTGTCGGTATTTTATACCATTTTATTGTTCACGAAATTTTTAACTTAGGATAGGTTCGTCGGAACATAACCTCATCATAAGTTATTTAGCACTTGTAATAGGGGTAGAATATTATCAACATTTTTGTTACCGTGGTAGTTTGTTGTTATTACAGCAGAACGAGACAGAGCTGGCAGAGAGGTATGCCTTAATGGCCAGGGACTCCAACGGCTACAATGACGCAGCGCTCGTTAACCTGGGTAACTGTTGTTACCAACGCAGCGACTACGAGAAGGCGCGCGAGCACTACATTGCTGCTTTGGACATCGATGCCTCTTGTGTCGAGGCACTCTATAACCTTGGTAGGTATGATAGTTGATGTACCCTCAGTAGGTATGACGATTGATGTACCCTCAGTAGGTATGATGATTGATGTACCCTCAGTAGGCACGACGGTTGATGTAACCTCAGTAGGTATGCCACTTGATATACCTTCAGTGTATGTTGTGTGTGTCAGTGATGTTGTGTCGCTGACATACATCAGTCACAAGGATAACATTGGCAATGCATTTGGCTAATAATAATTTCTAGGTTAACTAGCAAGGCACCAACCCTCACACCTTTCTCATGTCCAGGATAACTCTGTGAGTAAACACATGATGTCACCGTACAATACCTTTCCTAATAGCCATTCCAATATGCAGTCATGAATGGGTTTACATTATTTATACTGTAGTTTAATAGCAAATAATGAACAAACAAAACACTCACCACACAGTGGTGGGAGGGCTGGCTGCCAGTTGCAGGGGTCGGAGGGAGGGTAGTAAGGACTCGCATTGGTTGAGGCAGTGGTATTTAATAACATACATGTTATTAAGGCATAACGTATGTATTTAGTACAATTTACGACGTTTTCATGTACTTTATGATTGTTCATGGTTGGACAAGTTAAGGAAGCAGCATTGTATTATATTTCCCTACAATATATTGGGGCACCAAACATTCACGGTTTTTCAACATTCACGAGGCTCTTGATCCCCTAACCCTCGCAAATGTTGAGGGAGACCTGTACCTGTAGTTGCCATCATAAACAAAGGGAGAAGTCATGGCGAAAACTGTAAACAAAGCTGAATGCCTTAAGGGGAGTAACTGGCCCAAACACGCATTCTTACACATTTTCTTTGGTGCTGGACCAGAGAAAACAATTTTTTACCTCTGCCAAATACCACATTTCATATTTAAGTGTAAATTATTGGACTGTGTGTGTATGTATCATGTTTATATGCTTTGTCATGTATTTCTTATTTCTTATATAATTTTGAAGAGAATATCATAGATGAATTAACGAGAATGCCTATATCAACGTAAAATAAGACATTTAATGTTTCCAAGAGTGATTATTATTTTTTTTTTTTTTTTTTTTATTATCACACTGGCCGATTCCCACCAAGGCAGGGTGGCCCGAAAAAGAAAAACTTTCACCATCATTCACTCCATCACTGTCTTGCCAGAAGGGTGCTTTACACTACAGTTTTTAAACTGCAACATTAACACCCCTCCTTCAGAGTGCAGGCACTGTACTTCCCATCTCCAGGACTCAAGTCCGGCCTGCCGGTTTCCCTGAATCCCTTCATAAATGTTACTTTGCTCACACTCCAACAGCACGTCAAGTAAATTTAAAAAACCCTTTGTCTCCATTCACTCCTATCAAACACGCTCACGCATGCCTGCTGGAAGTCCAAGCCCCTCGCACACAAAACCTCCTTTACCCCCTCCCTCCAACCCTTCCTAGGCCGACCCCTACCCCGCCTTCCTTCCACTACAGACTGATACACTCTTGAAGTTATTCTGTTTCGCTCCATTCTCTCTTCATGTCCGAACCACCTCAACAACCCTTCCTCAGCCCTCTGGACAACAGTTTTGGTAATCCCGCACCTCCTCCTAACTTCCAAACTACGAATTCTCTGCATTATATTCTCTGCATTATTATTATTATTGTGAATTAGTATTATTATTGTATTACTATGGCATCAAGACTAGAGGGACACTCTTAGTGATTTTAATGTGTTCCTGCATGCCAGTGTGTAAGTATATTTAGGTACAGGTGCACATAAGAATAACTATCAAAATATATATAAAATATGTAATAACTTTAAAACACCTCAAATTCTGGAAAGTTTCTGGACATAATGGAGAGACGTGCTCACAGAGAATGTAAACAAACTGGGTGGCGCTCAGTGACCGCATTAGAAAGTCTGGTGGGAAAGCCGTATAGCATGTTTTGGTCATAATTAGAAATGTCCGTATTAGAGGAACGCCGTAAAGCAGGGCCCTACTGTATATTGCGATGTACTCGTTTACCAACACCTCAGACTTACAACGGGCTTTCTAACCAGTACGCATACCTAAATAATGTATATTAGAGCTGCTTTCCTCTGTTTTGTTTATTACAATATACAGTACACTACTGTATAAATATTTAAAAATATACCAGAAATGTTATGAATGGTGCAAAGGTGACATTAAAACAATATCAAAGATGGTTGACACAAACCCACTACCATTATAGTATGTTCCTCACTTAGCCATGAATTCGTTCGAGGTAAGTTTATTCAAGTACAGGTACACATAAATACAGTTACGTAAATTATCATTCATAGCAGCATGTGTAAATTACCCTCCAGGATAGCCCAAGAATGTCAGACAAAGTGATTCATTTCCGTAGGGAGTCCTTGTTAAGTCTGTCTGTGTTGATCCACGAGTCACAGATATCTCTTCACAGAATTGTCGAGCTTTCCTGTGATTGGCTGCATGAACCAGGCAGTTAATAATTAATAATTTAATATCTTTATTTCTACAAGTACAATGGCACCTAGCTGGAGTACATCAGCATGTGGCACCGTACAGTGTAACCTCAGCACTCAAACTTAATTTGTTCCAGAAGGCTGTCTGAGTACTTGACAGATTTTTCACAGCCAATTTTCTTTTTGATTGGCTGTTATCACTAGCACTCTTAGGCCCCATAGTGACCTAAACAAATAATATAAAATAACACCGAAAAATGCTAAGAAACAAAATAGTTTACAACAAAGTTCTGACAGGTCGTGTTTGTTTGGTCGAGTTCCGAGGAAACGGTCAACTGCTGGGCAGTTTGTTTACTGAACAAAGTGTTCAAATATAAGAGGAGCCTGGAGACATGACTAGTGAACAGAGAAAATGTTATTTTAGTGCCAGGAATGTCTGCATTGTTTATTCTGGACCCTATTTTCAAATTGGCATCTCTTGATATTTATGTGAAATTGGCCAAATTACCAATTTCTGACCACTTTATTGGGTAGTTGAAATAGGTAAGTAGGCAGTTTCTTGTACTCAGTCAACAGAATAGAAGGAATACTAGCGAAATACCTATGAGTTTGGTAGACTGGAATGTGCCAAAAGTAGGGCATAAAGTGGGTGAAATCGCCAGTGCATAAATATCACCATTGGGTTAAGTGTATTCTAGCCTAACCACTCTGTAATCCATCAAAATCACTATTCTGGTACCGTACAGGTCTCGATGATGCCGGATTAGTGATGGTCAACCTGTATAACTATTTTCGCTGCTACCTTTTTGCTCGTTCCTCCCTTGGTTATCATTCTACAGAAAAGTTTATGTTTAATGAAGAGTTTTACACTTAGAAGTTTGGTATGGCAGTGAGAAATCCTCTCTCACCTGTCCTAGTAATTTGTACATGTAATATTTTGAAACAAGATTGCTTAACACAATGCAAGCCACTAGTCTACCCCTGTATTCGTAATAGTAGACATGGTGTAGACCAAGTGTTTACATTGAACCACTTAGGTAAACATGTCGTTCGTCTGTATATAATGGGAACGACACTGGTTGACCACTCCTCTGATCAAATGTAGTTCACTTTCCTTGTTGTCCTGCAGGTCTGACCAATAAGAAACTCAGTCGTTATGAAGACGCCTTAGACTCATTGTTGAAGATGCACGCCATCGTTCGTAACTACCCTCCAGTTGTTTACCAGATTGCTCACCTCTACCAGCTCTTGAACGATAATGACCAGGCCTCAGAATGGTGAGAATTAAACTGTATACAGTCAGTACTATTATAAAGCTCCACTATACAGTCAGTTCTGTTATAAAGCATCACTATATACAGTCAGTACCTGGATTAAACCATACCACGGGCGGGATTGAACCCGCAGTCACAGAGTCTCAAAACTCCAGACTGTCGCGTTAGCCACTAGACATGCTGACAGTACCTGGATTAAGTTACCAGGTATTCATGTCCTGCAATTCGGTCACAAAAGTGTTGTTGTTACAGAATATAAAACTCCAATATAAACCCTTCTCTCAAACTGCTCCTTGACAGCTACAACAGAACACACAGGCACAACACAAGACACAAAACACTCTGCCTCGTGTCTGCCTCACCCTATGCAAAAATGCACTGCACATAAAGAGCTTGAGGATCTGGAATTCATTGCCCGAACCAGAAGTAGGTCCCCTGCCTGCAGATCAGTTTAGGCCTATACTTAAAAATCATCTCATATTCCAAAATTAACCATACCAACACTATGCTAACTCATTTAATCAGTTCGAAGCAACTCAAAATATCCCCCCAAAATTACGACTGCTTGATTATTTAAACTTTAATACATACTTATAATTAAACTGTTGTGTATTATTATATTGTGCTAAATTGTAATGCTGTTATTTTTATATATTTCAACACGACTATAAATTTTGTTACTGTAAACCATTAGCTACCTCACTGTTGAAGTGAAGAAAATAATGTACAATTAAAATTTACCACTTTTTACCTGTCTAGTACAGTATTAAGTACATCCTCGCCTCACTTAGCGATACACTTGTTTACCAACGGTTCAGACTTACAACATGTTCTCTGACCATTACAGTGGACCACTGGTTTACGATATTATTTCATTCCAGAAGTATGTTCAGGTGCCAGTATTGAACGAATTTGTTCCCATAAGGAATATTGTGAAGTAGATTAGTCCATTTCAGACCCCCAGACATACACGTACAAACGCACTTACATAAATACACTTACATAATTGGTCGCATTGGGAGCTGATTGTAAACCGGGGGTCCACTGTATTTATACCTAAATAGTGTATATTAGAGCTGATTTCCTCTATTTTGTTTATTTCAGTGTACAGTGCACTACTGTATAAACATTTAAAATTATACCAGAAATGTTATAAGTGGTGCAAAGGTAACATTAAAACAATATCAAAGATGACTGACACAAACCCATTACCATTATAGTATGTTCCTCACTTAGCCACGAATTCATTTAACGATGTGGCGATAGGAACGGAACTCCGTCGTTAAGTGAGGAGAGGCAGTAGTGTGTAAGGATTAGTCTGCCAGAAATGCCCCGGCATGTTAGTGGCTTTCTTTGTACCTAACAGCACATTATAAAATGTAAACACACACATTGTAATATTTGCAGAGAAATAAGTTTTGTATTTGTCTAGTCGTAAGATTACCAAAGATCTTGTAGAATTTCATAAGAATTCTTTGAGTGAGACCCATATGCTTCCTGTTGGATATATATCTATAGTTTCTAACTGTTTTATACAGATGCTCCTAGACTTACAATATTTTGACTTTACAATGGTTCGAGTAACCATATTTTGATTTTACAATGGATCAGCTTACAGTATTTTGACTATGATGGTTTGCCTTACGATATTTGACTGTACGATGGTTCACCTTACGATATTTTCAATTTACGATGGTTCCGCTTACGATATTTTGACAGTAATGGTTCGACTTGTGATATTTTGACTTTACGATGGTTCGATTTATAATATTTTTTACAATGGTTCAACTTAGAATATTTTGACTTTAGAATGGTGCGGCAGCAATTCCTTTGGAGATGAAACTTAAGATAATTACCCACCATGAAGGCATCAAGTCCCTAACTTGTATTCATTTATTGACTTTTCATTACCGGTATTTAGTTAGTTACAGTAATATTATTTATTCAGTAACAGTAGTTATTTATTTACTTATTTATTCAGCATATCACATATCCGACTTACAATGTTTTCAACTTACGATCGGTTTGCCTGAACATGACCCATCGTAAGTCAAGGACCATCTGTATATAATCACTAGAGTTCGTTTACAGCCCCCATAGTTGTTTACTCTGTGGTGGCCACATGTTTTAGTTCTGTTTTTAAAGGCTGTCCACTGCACTGTTTGTGTTTATTGGTTATGGTTTAAATTATTTATGTTGTTTATCTTTAAATATCTGGTGTTTGGAGAAGATTTATATTAATTGTGATTTTAAGACTAGTGTCGACTGACGTGGAGGTGTGACCTCACAGATAAGAGGAAACACATCTACTGTTACTCAGCAAAGACTGTTTTGTGAGGATCATGTTGACCTGGTAGTTGACATGACCCTCTGACCTGTGATACACACACACACACACACAACACACACACACACACACACACACACACACACACACACACACACACACACACACACACACACACAGGAGCTGTGACTCGATCCCTGCAACCACAAATAGGTGAGTCTACAACACACACACACACACACACACACACACACACACACACACACATACCACACACACACACATGCACGCATGGACAACACACACGCACAAACACACGCACAACACACACGCGTGCACACATGCGCACAACACGTGCTCAACACACATGCACAACACACGTGCACAACACACACGCACAACACGCGCGCTGCGCACACACACACACACACACACACACACACACACATACACACACACACTGGGGCCAGGAGCTAAGACTCGACCCCTGCAACCACAAATAGGTGAGTACACACACACACACACACACACACATTCAGGACCCTGTACACCGTGTATGTTAGGCCCATATTGGAGTATGCGGCACCAGTTTGGAACCCACACCTAGCCAAGCACGTAAAGAAAGTAGAGAAAGTGCAAAGGTTTGCAACAAGACTAGTCCCAGAGCTAAGAGGTATGTCCTATGAGGAGAGGTTAAGGGAAATCAACCTGACGACACTGGAGGACAGGAGAGATAGGGGGGACATGATAACGACATACAAAATACTGAGAGGAATTGACAAGGTGGACAAAGACAGGATGTTCCAGAGATTGGACACAGTAACAAGGGGACACAGTTGGAAGCTGAAGACACAGATGAATCACAGGGATCTTAGGAAGTATTTCTTCAGCCACAGAGTAGTCAGTAAGTGGAATAGTTTGGGAAGCGATATAGTGGAGGCAGGATCCATACATAGCTTTAAGCAGAGTATGATAAAGCTCACAGCTCAGGGAGAGTGACCTAGTAGCGATCAGTGAAGAGGCGGGGCCAGGAGCTCGGACTCGACCCCCGCAACCTCAACTAGGTGAGTACAACTAGGTGAGTACACACACACACACACAACAGGACCCTGTACACCATGTATGTTAGGTCTGTATTGGAGTATGCATCACCAGTTTGGAATCCACACCTGGCCAATCACATAAGGAAACTAGAGAAAGTGCAAAGGTTTGCAACAAGACTAGTCCTGGAGCTAAGGGGCATGTCCTATGAGGAGAGGTTCAGGGAAATCGACCTGACGACACTGGAGGATGGGAGAGATAGGGGAGACATGATAACAAAATATAAAATACTGAGAGGAATCAACAAGGTGGACAGAGACAGGATGTTCCAGAGATGGGACACAGCAACAAGGGGTCAAAAGTTGGAAGTTGAAGACTCAGATGAATCACAGGGATATTAGGAAGTATTTCTTCAGTCACAGAGTTGTCAGGAAGTGGAATAGTCTGTGAAGTGATGTAGTGGAGGCAGGATTCATACATAGTTTTAAGAACAAGTATGATAAAGCTCATGGAACAAACAGAGTGACCTAGTAGTGGCCAGTGAAGAGGTGGGGCCAGGAGCTGTAACTCAACCCCTGCAACCACAGCTAGATGAGTACAGCTAGGTGAGTACACACACACACACACACACACACACAACACACTACCAATAACAAACACATATCATTACAGGTACCTACAGCTCCTGGGCATCGTACCAACAGACCCACACATACACCAGCGTCTCGGTCAAATATTCGACTCCGAAGGCGACAAACAACAAGCCTACCAGTATTACTTTGATGTAAGTTGTCGACACGTTCTGAACCACAACCGTGGTGCACTAGACCCATATGGGCTCACCCCCAGGGGTGTCGGAGACTCGATCTTCCATCCACTAAACCCATAAGGGTCACATGCATGCTGAAGTGTCTTTCTGAATACTATTGTTTTCAATGTGTGCTTGTTGTTTGTCCTAACAAGTTTGAGGCAAGGAAGAAAGCACATTGACCTTGGCTCAGTCAGTAGCAGCCTTGCACGGCAAGCTTGTGGAATTTAACCCTTTGGGGGTTTCAGACGTACTAGTATGTCTTACGGCCTCAAATCTAGTGAGAGAAAGCTGGTAGGCCTACATATGTAAGAAAGGGTCTATGTGGTCAGTGTGTGCAGTATAAAAGAAAAATCCTGCAGCACACAGTGTGTAATGAGAAAAAAAAAACTTTGACCGTGTTTTTGGATTAAAACAGTGACTTTGCACTGTACTTTCGTATGGTATTTATTGTTGTATTCTAGTTTTCTTGGTCTCATTTTATAGAACAGAAGACATATTACAGAAATTGAGATGATTTTGACTGGTTTTACAATGAAAAGTACCTTGAAATTGAGCTCAAAGTAGCAGAAATGTTCGATTTTTACCAAAGTTCAAAAGTAAACAAATCATGCCAAGCATCCAATACACGTCAACTGGTGAGTCTAATATTCTTTCACAAGTGTGCCGATATTATTTATACCATTTCTACACTAATGCAGTAGTCTGCATAACAGTAAATCTTCTATTTTTTTGCGAAACAAAGCTGAAGGGGGTAGGAGAGTTTCAGTGGGGGGAAATAAATGGGATTAAATCTGGAGTATCTGAGAGAGTTAGAGCAAAGGAAGGGGTAGCAGTAATGTTAAATGATCAGTTATGGAAGGAGAAAAGAGAATATGAATGTGTAAATTCAAGAATTATGTGGATTAAAGTAAAGGTTGGATGCGAGAAGTGGGTCATAATAAGCGTGTATGCACCTGGAGAAGAGAGGAATGCAGAGGAGAGAGAGAGATTTTGGGAGATGTTAAGTGAATGTATAGGAGCCTTTGAACCAAGTGAGAGAGTAATTGTGGTAGGGGACTTGAATGCTAAAGTAGGAGAAACTTTTAGAGAGGGTGTGGTAGGTAAGTTTGGGGTGCCAGGTGTAAATGATAATGGGAGCCCTTTGATTGAACTTTGTATAGAAAGGGGTTTAGTTATAGGTAATACATATTTTAAGAAAAAGAGGATAAATAAGTATACACGATATGATGTAGGGCGAAATGACAGTAGTTTGTTGGATTATGTATTGGTAGATAAAAGACTGTTGAGTAGACTTCAGGATGTACATGTTTATAGAGGGGCCACAGATATATCAGATCACTTTCAGTTGTAGCTACACTGAGAGTAAAAGGTAGATGGGATACAGGAGAATAGAAGCATCAGGGAAGAGAGAGGTGAAGGTTTATAAACTAAAAGAGGAGGCAGTTAGGGTAAGATATAAACAGCTATTGGAGGATAGATGGGCTAATGAGAGCATAGGCAATGGGGTCGAAGAGGTATGGGGTAGGTTTAAAAATGTAGTGTTAGAGTGTTCAGCAGAAGTTTGTGGTTACAGGAAAGTGGGTGCAGGAGGGAGAGGAGCGATTGGTGGAATGATGATGTAAAGAGAGTAGTAAGGGAGAAAAAGTTAGCATATGAGAAGTTTTTACAAAGTAGAAGTGATGCAAGGAGGGGAAGAGTATATGGAGAAAAAGAGAGAAGTTAAGAGAGTGGTGAAGCAATGTAAAAAGAGAGCAAATGAGAGAGTGGGTGAGATGTTATCAACAAATTTTGTTGAAAATAAGAAAAAGTTTTGGAGTGAGATTAACAAGTTAAGAAAGCCTAGAGAACAAATGGATTTGTCAGTTAAAAATAGGAGAGGAAGTTATTAAATGGAGAGGTAGAGGTATTGGAAGAGGAAGGAATATTTTGAGGAATTGTTAAATGTTGATGAAGATAGGGAAGCTGTGATTTCGTGTATAGGGCAAGGAGGAATAACATCTTGTAGGAGTGAGGAAGAGCCAGTTGTGAGTGTGGGGAGTTCGTGAGGCAGTAGGTAAAATGAAAGGGGGTAAGGCAGCCGGGATTGATGGGATAAGATAGAAATGTTAAAAGCAGGTGGGGATATAGTTTTGGAGTGGTTGGTGCAATTATTTAATAAATGTATGGAAGAGGGTAAGGTACCTAGGGATTGGCAGAGAGCATGCATAGTTCCTTTGTATAAAGGCAAAGGGGATAAAAGAAGTGCAAAAATTATAGGGGATAAGTTGTTGAGTGTACCTGGTAAAGTGTATGGTAGAGTTATAATTGAAAGAATTAATGAGTAAGACGGAGAAATAGGATAGCAGATGAACAAGGAGGCTTTAGGAAAGGTAGGGGGTGTGTGGACCAGGTGTTTACAGTGAAACATATTAATGAACAGTATTTAGATAAGGCTAAAGAGGTCTTTGTGGCATTTATGGATTTGGAAAGGCGTATGAACAGGGTGGATAGGGGGCAATGTGGCAGATGTTGCAAGTGTATGGTGTAGGAGGTAGGTTTACTGAAAGCAGTGAAGATTTTTTACGAGGATATGAGGCTCAAGTTAGAGTATGTAGGAAAGAGGAAATATTTTTTCCCAGTAAAAGTAGGCCTTAGACAAGGATGTGTGATGTCACCGTGGTTGTTTAATATATTTATAGATGGGTTTGTAAGAGAAGTAAATGCGAGGGTCTTGGCAAGAGGCGTGGAGTTAAAAGATAAAGAATCACACACAAAGTGGGAGTTGTCACAGCTGCTCTTTGCCGATGACACTGTGCTCTTGGGAGATTCTGAAGAGAAGTTGCAGAGATTGGTGGATGAATTTGGTAGGGTGTTTCAAAAGAAAATTTAAAGGTGAATACAGGAAAGAGTAAGGGTTTAGGATAACAAAAAGATTAGGTGAAAGAAGATTGAATATAATTGAGGGAGAGAGTATGGAGGAGGTTAACGATTCAGAAATTTGGAAGTGACGTGTCAGCGGATGGGTCTATGAAAGATGAGGTGAATCATAGAATTGGGTGAGGGAAAAAAGTGGGTGGTCACTTAGGAGTCTGTGGGAACAAAGAACTTTGTCCTTGGAGGCAAAGAGGGGAATGTATTGGGAAGGTTATTTATGTTTAACCAACGCTTCTTAATTTTTGGTGTTTAATGCGTGGGTGATGAAGTTGCACGAGGGGAAGGCTGAGGCAAGTAGAGATGTCTTTTTGAGGGCATGTGTGGTTGTGATATAATGCAGAGAATTCGTAGTTTGGAAGTTAGGAGGAGGTGCGGGATTACCAAAACTGTTGTCAGAGGGCTGAGGAAGGGTTTTAGGTGGTTCGTCATGTAGAGGAATGGAGCGAAACGAATGACTTCAGAGTGGTTTAAATCTGTAGTGGAAGGAAGGCGGGTAGGGGTCGGCCAGGAAGGGTTGGGGAGGGGTAAAGGAGGTTTTGTGTCGAGGGGCTTGGACTTCCAGCAGGGATGCGTTGAGCGTGTTTGATAGGAGTGAATGGAGACAAATGGTTTTTTAATCTTGACGTGCTGTTGGAGTGTGAGCAAAGTAACTTATGAAGGGATTAGGAACCGGCAGGCCGGGCTTGAGTCCTGGAGAGGGAGTACAGTGCCTGCACTCTGAAAGGAGGGGTGTTAATGTTGCAGTTTAAAAAACTGTGTGTTAAAGCACCCGGCCAAAAATTATAAGTGGGAAAAATTTTTCTTTTCCCACTGCCGGGGTCACTCTTGTTAAAAAAAAATTTATTCAAGTGGAAAGAAAAAAGGGGTTGGGGTTTACTAAAGAACCCGGGTTTGTTTATTTTAAAGTAGCCAGGTCTTAGTTTTTTGCCTAAACTGGGAAAAGGCACTTTTAAATTTGGAGAAAGGCAAATTCTAAATTTCTGCCATTTTGTTAACCTTTAAAAATTGCCGGGTCTTGTTCTCACCAAAGTAAGGGGTTTTTGCCATGTTAAATTTTTCCAAGGTCTGTTTTTAAAATGCCCAAAAATGCAATCGTTTTTAAAAAAAAGGGCCCAATTTGCCTTTTTCCTAAAATCCCTACTTTTTGTCTAAAAGGGAAAGGTCTTACTTTTTTAGAAAAAATATTTTTGTTTTTTTATTTGCAGCCGGGGCATTCTTAAACCCCCAACCCCGGGTTTTTTCCCCCCCCCCCCCCCCCCCCCCCCCCCCCCCCCCCCCCCCCCCCCCCCCCCCCCCCCCCCCCCCCCCCCCCCCCCCCCCCCCCCCCCCCCCCCCCCCCCCCCCCCCCCCCCCCCCCCTTTTTTTTTTTTTTTTTTTTTTTTTTTTTTTTTTTTTTTTTTTTTTTTTTTTTTTTTTTTTTTTTTTTTTTTTTTTTTTTTTTTTTTTTTTTTTTTTTTTTTTTTTTTTTTTTTTTTTTTTTTTTTTTTTTTTTTTAAACAGACCCGGATCACGCGGTCAGTGTTTGAGGTTGGCTATTTGACCAGTTGATCATGACAGATCATGCAGGTGTGTCTTGGGTGCTATCCCAGCCCGGATCGTAGGTCAGGCTTAATTGTTCAATTTGACTATTTCCTACTATCTTAGCCCCCACCATTTTTAAAAAAAAATTTTTTGTAGCCATCTGTTGCTATTTTTTCTGAAAAATTAGAATTTTGTAACTAAAAGTATGCTGATGTGTATATTGTTAAGAAAAAAAGTTATGTTGTGATGTTTCAGGTTAAAAAATTGAACGTTTAACAGTCATTTAAAAGTTAATTAAACAGTCAGTCAAAAGTTAAACAGTCATTTAAAAAAATTTAAAAAAGAAAGTTAATCAATTAAAGTAGTGGAAAGGTTTATACAGTGTTGTTTTTGTTGTTGTGTTGGTCAGGCGCATCGGAGCGTCACGCAGCGGTCAGCAGCCTCCATGGCTACGATGATGTGCCGCCCCCAAGAGTCTTCAGGTCTCTCCACCACACTCACTTTATTCTTTCTTCAACCGGGTTTTTCTATCTTAAACCTCATTTTAAGTACATTAAACCGGCTTATAGTATCTTTTAAACCTCCTTTTTTGTATGTTTTTAAAACCCGACTTATTGTATGTTAAATTTGGTTATTCTGTGTTAAACTGTTTATTGTGTGTTAAACCTGGTTTATTGCATGTTTTAAAAAAGGCTTATTGTATTTTTAAAAATGGCTTATTGTATGTTAAACCTGCTTTTTTGCATGTTAAAACCCCGGGTTTTTTTGTTAAACCGTTTTTTTGTATGATAAAAATGTTTATTGTATATTAAAATTTGTTATTGTATGTTAAACCTTTATTGAAAGTTTTTTAAATTTTTTTGGTATTTAAATTTTTTTTTTTATATTAAAACCCGTTTATTTTATGTTAAACCCGCATTATTGTATGTTAACCCGCTTTATTGTATGTTTTTCCGGTTATTTTATGTTAAAACCCGACTTATTTTGTTTTAAACCCGGCTCTGTTGCAGTTAAACTTGGTCTGTCTTATTGCTGTTAACCTGACTTATTGCAGTTAAACCTGGCTCTGTTATTGTCTATTTCTTAATTTGTAATAGAGAGCAGGACCAATTAACACTGGTTAAAATTGAATTAATGTGACTATCCCCTTTGTTGACTATTTCCCATCTCCTCCCTTAAACCCCTTTTTTTTGTTTCGTCGTTATTAGTCTTTCGAGCCGTGTTTTGGAGTATTATACTCAAAAATTCAGGGTTCAAATCAAGCAGGGGAAAAAAAGGTGGTAGGCCCCCCATGGAGAGAATGGGGTCTTTGTGGTCAGTGTGCACCCCATAAAAAAAAACCTGGGCCGCAGTGCATAATGAGAAAAAAAACTCCAACCCCCGTTTTTTGGGTTAAAAACCCACTTTGAGGTGTATTTTCCTATAGTATTTTGGTTGTATTCCATTTTCTTTGGGCTATTTTATAGAATGAAAAACATTTTTACGTAGAGGGATTTTTGATTATTTCTGGAAAATGACCCTTTAAATGGCTCAAAATAGCAGAAATGTTCAATTTTATCAATGTTCAGGAGTACAGTCAATTGGGGGGTTAATATTCTTTACTAGTGCGTTGTTTATTTTTTATATTTTTAAAAATAATGCATAGTCTGCATAACGTAAAAATTTTTTATTTTTTGTTTTTTATTTTATATTATTATTTTCACATGGCCGTTCCCACCCAAGGGAGGGTGGCCAAAAAAAAAAAACTTTCCCCTCATTCACCCATCACTGTCTTGCCAGAGGGGGGTCTTTACATACAGTTTTTAAACTGAAATTAACCCCCCTCCCCTTTAGAGTGGGTTGAAGGTTGTATTAGTTGGGGGGAAGATAGGAAAGGGGGAAACTAAAATTTTTCTCTTCACCGGGGGGTTTTAAAAATTTCATGGTTATGGGGAAAAAGATAGTGGGTCCCTTGGATGGGGAGAAAAAGAATTGTCCGGGGGAAAAAGGGGGGGGGAAATTTAGGGAATTTTTTCCCCAACGAGGGGTTAAACTGGGGGGGGTTGGGGGGGGAAAGGCCGGGGAAAGGGGGGTGTAGCTGACTTGGGGGGAATATAATGCAGAAAAATTCGTATTTTGGGGAATTAGGAGGGGTGGGGTTTCCAAAACTGTTTTTCCGGGAGGGCGGGGGAAAGGGGGTTTTAGGGGGGTTGGGACATGTAGAGGAATGGAGCGAAACAGAATGACTTAAAGAGGGGTACCCGGGTCTGTAGGGGAAAAAAAGGGAAGGGGGGGTAGGGGTCGGCCGGGAAAGGGGTTTGGGGGGAGGGGGGGTAAAGGATTTTTTGGGTGTGGAGGGGCTTGGATTTCCCAAGCAGGCATGCTTTGGAGGTTTTTGATAGGAGTGAATGGAGAAAAAATGGTTTTTAATACTTGACGTGCTTTTGGAGTGTGACCCCAAAGTAACTTTTATGAAGGGATTCGGGGAAACCGGCGGGCCCGGGATTTGAGCCCTGGAGAGGGGAAGTACAGTGCCTGCCCTTTTGAAAGGAGGGGTGTTAATGTTGAGTTTAAAAAAAACTGTAGTTTTAAAAAGCACCCTTCGGGAAAAACCCAAGTGATGGAGTAAATGATGGGGGGAAATTTTTTTCTTTTTCGGGCCCCCCTGCCTTGGGGGGAAATCGGCCGGTGTGATAATAAAAAAAAAAAAAAAAAATTCAAAGTGGAAACCCCAAAAAGAAATGAAGAGGGGCCTGGGGGTTTGTGACAAAACGAACAGAGAAAATGTTTATTTTAGTGCCGGGGAATGTTTGTTTTTTTTAAAAACCCTTTTTGGGAAAAAATTTGGCATTTTTTAAAATTTTGTGGAAATTGGCAAATTGCAAAAATTCTGACCACTTTATTGGATATTAAAATTTGGTAAATGGGGGGTTTTTTGTACCCCATTCGATAAAAAAGATGGAGTTTTAGAAAAATTTTTTTATGATTTTTGTCAACTAGTACACTGGAATTGGCCAAAAAATGGGGCTAAAAGGGGGGCAAAAATGGGGGCCCGATGCGTAAACATCGTTGAAACCACTAATTTCGGAGGGGCTTAATTCCGAAATTTTCCCCCATCAAATTTCATACTTTTGGTGTCATTATAAATTGGGGAAAAAAATCTCTATTTTTCTTTAAGAAAAAATAATTTTTTTTTTTTTTATTAAAATTTGGGCCCCAAGCCCTGAGAACAAATCCTAAAGGGGGCCGGGTAAACCCCCCAAAAGGGGTTAAAACTAAACCCAAAACTGCCTTTCACCAAATTTAAATTTGCACTGGTGTCCCCTAATTACGCATGCTGTCACCTAATTACTGCATGCTGCCCCAAACCAAAATTATCCCACTGCCACCCCTAAATCTGTATTGCCATCACCAAAATGGCTGTATTGCCATCACCTAATTTTTTTTGGGGGGCGGGGGCCATCACCAAATTTCTGTACTCCCTTTTAACTTAATTACTGCACTGTTTGTTGCCAAATTTTTCCCTTTGCTTTTCCCCTAATTAGGGGGACTGCCATCCCCTTTAATTTCACATGCTGTAGCCTTTTTTCCTACACTCCCTGTAACCAAATTACTACCTCTTTAACCCTTTGTTACTGCACGACATCACCTTTTTTAACTGAAACTCCATCACCTAATTACTACCCCTCCCAAACCCCTAATTATTTCACCACCATCACCTCTTCCCCCCCCTTTGAGCTTGGTGCTATTCCTTTCTGCAGTCAGTAAATAAAACACACACCAAGAGGTGTTTTTTTCTCAGTTTATGACACTGTAAAACACATACAATATACGAGAGCCCTGATGGTTTACACAGACACGGGTGGATAAAAAGGGTAGTTACGGCCCCTTGAAAATTTTGGGTGATAAAAATTTGATGTGGGGGTGAACTGGGGAAACAGGGGGTAAACGGGGTTTGGGTTTTCCCATATGGAAAACTTAAATGTAGAGGGGATAAAAGAACAAGGGGGAAAATCGGGTTGTTTTTCATTAGGGCACCAAATGCCCGCCCAATTTTTTTGGTTTTAAAATTGTGGAAAATATAATAACGAAATTTTTTTGTTGTTGTAGTTTTAAAGTTAATAAAAATTATTATCCTTAAAACATTTTTTATTACAATCTTGATTTTTAGAAATATTAAGTTTTTTTTTGCAAGTGTAGGGGTTGTTACAGTGATAGTTTTAAATTTGGGTTACATTTCCTACCGTTATTTCCCAAAAGTAATTGGAGGAAATAGACTGGCTTGGGTCATACTTCTTTGAGCACCCGGTGGCAGAGAAAGCCATCAGTTACTTTGACGGCAGCCTTTTGCAGCCAGGGCCAGGGTAAGTGGGGACTTGTTGGGTTTGCTGCTTGTCCCGCCGCTCAGGCAAAAAAACCCGCAGGGTTTCACACCTATAAACAGATCAACCCAAGGTTCCCTGAGAATGTTGAATGTAAGATGTAGTGTGTGTTTCGTGTGATGCTGTTAGTGTTGTGTGGGGGCTGTGTGAAGCTGTAAAGTGGGTGTGTGGGGGTGTGGGTTTCTGGGAGTGCTTTTGTGTTTCGTGGTGTTGTGTGGTGCTGTATAGTGTTGTGTTTGTTTTTGTGGTTTCGTTGGTGGTTTGGGGTTCTGCAGTGCTGTGGGGTTTTTTGGTTTTTTTGTGGGGGCGTTTAGTGGGTTTTTGTGGATCGGGGTGATCTGTATGGGCTGTGGGGGGTGGGGTGGTTTTTGTGCGGGGGCTGTTTGGGGGTTGTGTGGTGCTTTTGTGGTGTTGGGGGTGGGGCTTTTATATGTTGTGGGGGTGCTGTTGATGCTGTATGGTGCTGTGTGGGGTGTGGGGTTGTGCGTGCTGTTTTGGGGTTTTTGTGGTGCGTGTTTGGGGTTGTGTGGTGTTGTGTTTGTGCTGTTTGGGGTTGTGTGGTTTCTGTTTTGGTGCTGTGTTTTTGTTGTGTGGTGTGTGTGGTGTAAATGCAGTGCTGGATGAGATGTGTGATGCTTTTGTAGTGCTGGGAAAGATGCTGTGGGGGTTTTGTGTGTTCTGGATGATGCTTTTTGGTTGTGTGGGTTCTGGGGGGGTTTCTTGTGGTGTTTGTGTAGTGTGTTGGGGAAGCTATATGATGCTCTGTGAAAGCTTTGGGATGCTGTGTGGTGCTTTTGGGAGCTTTGTGGTGCTTTTTAAATTCCCAAAGGGCTTACGGTTTTACCTTAAAGCTAGCCAGGGTAAAAGGGTTCTACTTCCCAAAACTAGCCAGGGTATTTTGCTTTTTATTTCCCTAAAGCTAGCCAGGGGCTTAAAACTTCAAATACCCTAAAGCTGCCCAAAGGGCTTAGCTTCTACTATCCTAAAACTAGCCAGGGTCTTAGCTTTACTATCCTAAAGGGAAACCAAGGTCATAGTTCTATTTCCTAAAGGGTTTGCCAAGGTCTTTGCTTTCCCACTACCCTTAAAACTAGCCAAGGGGCTTAGCTTCTACTCCGGGAAAGTTTTTCCCCGGGCTTAGCTTTATACCCTAAAGGGTAGCCAGGGTTTAGTTTTTAAATCCCTAAAGCTTTTTCCCGGGGCTTAGTTTCTACTACCTTTTAAAAAACTTGCCAGGGTCTTAGCTTCTTCTACCCTAAATAGCCAGGGTCTTAGTTTCTACTACCTTTAAAACTAGACAGGGTCTTACTTTTACTACCCTAAAGCTAGAAGGGGCTTACTACTACTACCCTAAAGTAGCCAGGGTCTTTGCTTCTACTGCGTTTAAAACTAGCCAGGGTCTTAGCTTCTACCGTCCTAAAATAGCCAAGGTCTTAGCTTTAAATGTCGTAAGCTAGCCAGGGTTTTAGCTTTTACTACCCCCAAAGCTAGCCAGGGTCTTAAACTTCTACTTTCCCAAAACTAGCCCAAAATCTTAGCTTCTACTGTCCCTAAAGCTAGCTAAGGTCCCTTAAACTTCTACTTCCCTAAAGCTAGGCCCCGGGTCCTTTTTCTTCTACTACCTAAAGCTAGCCAGGGGTTTTGGGTTCTTTCTGTCCTAAAAACAGCCAAGGTTTAGCTTTACTGTCCTAAAAACCAAAAATGTCCCTTTGCTTCCCACTATCCTAAAAACTGCCCCGGGGCTTAGTTCTACTACCCTAAATTTCTTTGTGGGAAGGGCTTTTGCTTTTACTGTCCCTAAAACTAGCCCCGGGCTTAGCTTTTTACTATCTTTTAAAAAGCCCCGGGGCTTTGCTTCTACTAAACCTAAAGCCATCAGTGTCTTAGCTTCTACTTTCCCTAAAGCTAGCCAGGGTCCTTTGCTTCTTAAATGTTAAACCCGCCCCGGGGTTTTGCTTCTACTACCCCAAAGCTAGCCAGGGGCTTAGCTTCTACTTCCCCAAAGCTAGCCAAAAGGGTTTTTTTTTACTGTTTCCTAAAGCTAGCCAAGGGCTTAGCTTCACTCCCTAAAGCAGCCCTGTCATAGCTTTTAAATACCCCAAAAAAGGGAAACCAAGGGCTTAGCTTCTACTGTCCTAAAGCCCCTTTAGTGTCTTAGCTTCTAATATCCTAAAGTTTGCCGGTCATAGCTTCTACTACCCCAAAAGGGACCCGGGTCTTACTTCTACTACCCCAAAGCTAGGAAGGTCTTTTCTACTGTCCTAAACCAGCCAGGGGCTTAGCTTTTTTTTTTTACGTCCTAAAGCTGGCCCGAGTCCCTTCTTTTCTATCCTAAAGCCAGTCAGGTCTTAGCTTCTACTACCCTAAGGCTTGCCAGGGTTTTTAGCTTCACTACCCTAAAGCTAGCCAAAGGGCCCTTTGCTTTTACTACCCCAAAGGGTAGCCAGGGCTTAGCTTTACTAAACCCCAAAGGTAGCCAGGGGCTTACTTCTACTACCCTAATGCAAACGAAGGGCTTAGCTTTTTATACCCTAAAAACTACCAAGGTCTTAAAATTCTACTGTCCCAAAGCTACCCAGGGTTTAGCTTCTCCCACCCAAAAATAGCCAAAGGTCTTAGCTTCTCTGTCCTAAAGCTAGCCAGGGTCCCTTTGCTTTACTACCCCAAAATAGCCAAAGGGCTTTGCTTCTACGGGCCCAAAGCTAGCCAGGGTCTTAGCTTCTACACTCTAAAAACTTGTCAAGGTCTTAGCTTTACTGTCGTTAAAACAAACCGGGGCTTAGTTTTTCTACCCCAAAAAACTTGCCAGGGTCTTAGCTTCTATACCCCAAAACTACCAGGGTCTTAGCTTCTACTACCCTTTAAAACTAGCCCGGGTCTTAAACTTTACTCCCTAAAGCTACCAAGGTCTTAGCTTTTTTACTACCCCAAAATAGCCAAGGTCCTTTGGGTTCTACTACCCTAAAACTACCGGGGTTTTTAGCTTCACTACCCCAAAGCTAGCCAAGGGGGGCTTAGCCCTTTTACTACCCTAAAGGGAGCCAGGGTCTTTTGTTCTACTACCCTAAAGTAGCCAGGGGCCCTTTTCTTCTTTTACCCTAAAACTAGCCCGGGGGCTTAGTTCTATACCCCAAAGCAAACCAAGGTCCCTTTGCTTTACTTTCCCTAAAGTAGCCAGGGTCTTTGCCTTCTACAACCCAAAGCTAGCCCCGGGTTTTTAGCTTCTTTTTATCCTTAAAACTAGCCAGGGTCTTTGCTTCTACTAAACCTAAAGCTAGCCAGGGTCTTAGCTTCAAAATCCTAAAAACTAGCCAGGGTCTTTGCTTTATACCCTAAAGAAACCGGGTCTTTGCTTCCGTCCTAAAAAAAAAAAAAAAAAAAAAAAAAGCCACATTTTCAGTGTAATAGATTGTAAACTATTGGGGTGTTTGATATATATTACCATTTCCCCTGGGGTGGATCCTCAACTATTCCTTTGGGAAAGGGCCCCAAATTGCTGATCCGGCTTTAGGGAGCGACCCAGGCCTAAAAGAAAGGGAAAAAGAATACGCAAAAAGAGTTGAAGAAAGTTTTAGCGGGCCCCAGGAAAACGCGACAGTAGGGCCCCCACGGATCCGCCCAGGATCAGCAGGGCAGTATCTTGATGGTTGGAAATATCCCAGACCAGTTGATCATGGGCCAGATCATGCAGGTCAGAATTCTTGATGGCTTTACTTTCCCAGACCAGGGTAGTAGGTTTAGGCTTAAATTTGGGAAATTTGACTATTTCCTACTTCTCTAGCCTACAATTTAAAATGGACTTTTTTGTAGCCATCCCTTTTTTCTATTATGTCTGAAATTATGATTTTTGTAAAATATGGAGTATGCTTTTAAAAAGTGTACTATTGTTTTTAAAAAAATTTACTGTTCTTTTGACTGTTGGGGTTAAACATCATGTAATCATTCCCAAAAGTCTAAATATTTAAACGTTTTAAATTTAAAAAGTCAGGGTTTAAAAAGTTAAAAAATATTTAAACAGAAAGTTAAAACAATTTTTAAATGTGGTAACGGGTTTTTACAGTGTTGTTGTTGTTGTTTTTTTGTGTTTTGGGCAGGTCCCTCAAGCGAGCGTCACGAGCGGATCAGCAGCCTCCACTGGCTACGATGATGCCCGCCGGGCCCCCAAAGAAAAATCCTGCTACCAGGTACTCTCCACCACACTCAAATTTATTCTATCTTCAACCTGGTTATTCTATCTTAAACCTCCCTTTATAAGTAAAATTAAACCTGGCTTATAAATATCTTAAACCTCCCTTTTTTGTTTTGTTAAACCCGACCCTTTTTTGTTGTTAAAATTTGGGGTTTTTTCTGGTTTTTAAAAACCCGCTTTATTGGGGTGTTTTTAAAAATGGTTTATTGCATGTTAAAAACCCGGCTTATTGAAGTTAAAAACCCGGTTTTTTTTTTTGTTAAAACCCGCTTTTTTGCATGTTAAACCTGGGTTTTTTAAAGTTAAAAACCGTTTTTTTTGATGATAAAACTGCTTTATTTTAATTTAAAATTTTCTTATTGTATTTTTTAAAACCTTTTTTGTATGTTTAAATGTTTTTTTTGGGATCTTAAATCTTTTTTTTTTTATATTAAACCCGCTTTATTGTAAAGTTAAAAAACCCGCATTTTTATATGTTAAACCCGCTTTATTGTAGTTTATACCCGGGTTATTTTATGTTAAACCCGGTTTTTTTTTTTTGTTAAACCTGAACTTATTTTATGTTTTAAAACCCGGCTCGTTGCATGTTAAACTTTGGCCCCTGTCTCTATTGGGTGTTAAAAACCCGACTCTAATTTCATTTAAAAACCCGGCTCTTTTACTAATTTTCTATTGCTCTAATTCTGTAAAAAGAGCCAGGAAAACATTAACATGGTTAAAAAAAGAATTAAAATTTTGGCTATCTTTTAGTTGACTATTTCCTAAACTCCTCACTTAACCCTTTTACCGTTTC